CTGACGGTGGCGGGCACCTTGTAGTCCTAGGCTCTACTCGAGGCTTGAGGGCAGGGAGGAATGGGGTAAACCAGGGCGGAGCTTGCAGGGGGGTGGGGAGGGCTGGGAGATCCAGGGCCACTGCACTCCAGCACTGGGGGTCGAGCAGAGTTGGGACTCCGGTCTCAAAAAAAATTAAATTAAAATTGCTGTAAAAAATAAAGATAACAATAAAATAAAATAAAATTAACCAGAGTTATTTCCAAGAACTCTCTACTATTGTCTGATACGTGATAAGAAACGGAAGTCTCTCACCCAGGTCAGAAAAGCACATCTAGATCACACTTAGTTTGGCCAAGAAAAAACCAAAGTAATGATAGATTAAAGTTGATACTTGCCTCTCGCACCCCTGAAAAGAATTCTGTAGTGTTTTTCTAATCGCTTGGCCATGTAGTTGGCATTTAATATCGCAGTTTCCGTGGCCTGTTTAAGGCCCTTGCCTCCCATCATCTGCAACAGAGGGAAAAACAGCCATTAGCCATTGAACGGGCAAACACAAAGGTCAAGACACCAACCCAAAGACACCCCCAGATAAATTCCACCCACAAAGGAAGGCAGCCCACAATGACTCTGGAGTAAAGATGAGTGGAAAATTCCAACAAGGACATCTGTCAGATCCCTCTAAGCCTGTAATACATTTTTGTTTTCCTCTTTTAATAGTAGTTTTATGTTTTTTATTATAGTAGCAAAGTCTACAACAGAGCAAGTTGACCACTGACTACTGTGTTATCTAAAGAGAGAAAAGAATTGTTCTCATATTACATGTGTTTTGGAGTTTTTTGTTTACTATGAATTTGAGAGATCTTGATAATTGCCAGGAATCTCATGGGATCTGGGCCAATAATACCTCCACTGAAGCAATTTTGTATGGTTTATTTTCCCATTGTCCCTAGTAGAGGCTGCTTATGTTTAAAAACTGCTCAGTATTGTCCTGGTAGTTAATAGTCCCTGTGATCATAAGGGATACATGTCATCACTGCAAAGAGCTTCAAATCAAGACTGTACCAATTCTGATGGCCTGCTTTCTTCCCAGAGTGCCTCACATGTGATGGAGTTGGCATATGTATTAAATACATAACTAATGTAAAGAGAATGAGAGAACACCAAATAAAACAACAGTAGTACTTTGGTATCATTAAGGGGGTCCAAAGTTAAAAGGGGCCACATTGCTCCAGGCTAATCAAAGAAGGTTTCCTAGATTAAGAGCCAGAACTTGGCTAGAAACTTAGAAATAAGTAGAATTTGGATAGGGAAGAGAAAGGGGAAGGCATACCAGGTGAGAAGAATGGCAGAAGTCAAGGCATAGAAGGGGAGGGCACATGACTGTCATCTGGGAGTGGATGGAGGGCAAGGTGAATTGTGACTCCATTTTTAAGCCCAAACCTTCTCTAGGAAGGACTTCGACTTTGTCCAGCCAACCCCTGGCTCTCAACCTATGTCTCATGGGGGAATTTTTTAAAAATGCAGACGGCTCAAGTCCAACCCTACATATGCTCAATTTGGTTCTCCCTGGAATGGGGCCTAGGCATGTGCATTCTGAAAGAATCCCTTAAGGATTTCGTGCAGGCTAGTGAGAACCAGGTAAAGCAATAGGAAGCCAGGAGAGGCATGTGGGTGCCTAGGGTGAGTCTGGCAGTCCTGTAGGTACGCCTGTGGAATTGCAGCAGGGAGAGAAGCAGCTAAAGCTAGAGTCCAGGGGATTAGTAACAACAGCCTGAAATAAGAGAAGGCCCAAGGCCAGAGGGGGCAGCTTAAACCCTACTTTATTTATTTAGTTTTTAAACTGAGGCACCGGCTGGTGTTCCAGGCATGTAGCCAAACCAACCTTGGGGCATTTATTTTCTATATGTGGGAAGTCATCTCCAACCCAAATATGCTCATACAAATAACCCAGATTTACAGAACCCAGAGATCAAAAGGGAAGTGGGAATTTGATTCTGCTTACAAAGAAGCAGACCTTTATTCTGATTGCTTGTGTTGTTTGCAAAACAACTTGAGTATCATTTTTAAAAGCAAGTGTCAGTCTCCGAGGTACCGAATTGTTCTGGCTTCCAAGAAACTTTTTGTGAAGAATCATAAATGCCATACTGTTCCAGAAATAAACAGCCAGTTCCACAGAGTCCTCTGGCATGATTTGCATAGATGCGTTTTGGGGGTGCTGTTTCAGTGGGAGCCCCCCTTCCTTTAAAGAGGGGCACTGCTTTGGGGAGACTGCTCTAATTAGCAGCCAAACAAGTGTTCCTATTCACAGTCTTGTTGGTTCAGGAGGTGGGTAGGCCAGTCTGAACAAGAACTGTAGAAAATCAACTCTGGCTCTGGTGTTTTTTGGGATAAGACAAAGGAAGGAAGCCTGTTCTCTGACTAATTATGCGGAGAGCACAGCACCACAAGCCCTAAAGGCCGAAGAGCTCTGGGAAACCACTAGAGAAGCAAATTACCACTACTTTTCATCTTCTCCTCCGGCCCCCTCAAGAAATATATAGCGAAGTGAGATATATAGCAGGATCTCAGCAAAATGGAATAATTAGTACATGCACTGCTTTTCACTCAGAAGGGGCTATATAAATCCTGCAGGAAACCAAAGGACGCGGCCAGAACATCCATATGACTCATGGAACTTAGCTGTGTCTGGAAAAATATATCTGGCGCTTCAGTTTCTCTGATGTTAAACCCAGTCTGAGAACCCAAAGGAAGTAGTGTAATGAAGAAGAGATGAAATGATTTTTAGCTCATCTCTTTAGGAAGGTTTCTTCCACCCAGGTGATCAGCAATATTCTTTGAACCACATCTCAGATCATGAATTTATTTGTTTTTAAGCCAAGAAGGAAGTCTGCAGTCTCTGGTCCCCACCCATAGCTGACGCCCCTGCCCACCTGTACATACTCCCAGGCCTCACCTTGATATAAGCCCAGGAAATGGGCAAAATGGAACTGGAGCCCCAGGGGGCCGCGCTGACGGTTCCCACAGGGCAGGCATCCTCATTCCGCTTCAGTGAAATGATGGGATGATTGGGCAAAAACGGGGCAAGATGTTTCTTCCTGTATTTTTTTTTTAAGTGCAAATTCAGAAAATGTAAACGATTCAGTTTAATCTAATGGGAAGGTTCTGGGCCCTCCCAGGAAGCCCTGTTCTTAGCAGAGGAGCTCTGACAGTGATAGGGACCCTCCACCTGCTGGGAGGCAGATGTTCAAGAAGCGATCCTTCCTTCCTTCCTCCTCTGCTGGAGGTCCACCAGCCATCAGTGTCCCAGGCCTCACCCAAGAACTGTGGTGGAGGACTTGATAGAGGCAGGCAGTCATGAAACAGTGGAGTTCCATGCTCCTCCCTCCCCCTCCCAGCCCCATTCCCTCACCCCTATACACTTTCCCAAGGTGGATAGAAGAGGGGCTGATGAGAAGATGCCCCATGGGCTGACATGAACATCATTGCCCCCACCTCCCTGACGGCTGAAGCAATGGAGCTCACACCCTTACTAGAAACCATCATCATCAAAATGAATGTCACTTTAACAGCAGTCAAACAAAACAAAACAACAAAACAAAAAAAACAAGAAAGAAAGAAAAGAAGAAAAAAGTAAGAAGGCCAAGCTTCCAGCAACTCTGAAAACTGGCTTCTTTAGCATATTTTGGGGAGACTGAAGCAGCTCAGGAAACAGCTGCTCTCATCATCATTTTCCCAAGATGATTTATTTCAGTGTGAAAAGTTATCAACAGCTAAGAAACATTCCTTCAGTCCTACTCTGGCTTCATCCAATTATTTCTAGTAACAAGGTTTGTTTTTTCCTTACTTACGTGTTACTTATCTTAACACCTTACATCTAATTCACTTTCAATGGAACCATTAGCTGACTTTAAAAAAGAAAAAAAAAATGCTTGGAAATCCAGAAGTCCAAAAGGCACTTTCTAGTGCCAATATTCCAGTTACAATACATATGCTCAGGAAAAGTTCCCTATTCATTATTCTGTTAATAAACCTACTGTCTATGTGCAACTGGAAGCTCAGTGAGGCCAGATGTAATGGTTAATAAAATCTAATTACACTTTTCTTTGGACATCCCCTAAAAGCACCCATTTCGCTGCTCCTCCCCCAGACCCTACAAGTGCACTACACCAATGAGGGTATCCTCAATACATGAGGACTTTGATGGGACGAGTAGTCTATTGGGGGCCACTCCTTCATTCTGTCTCCAAAGCCATCCTGAAACCAGCAGCCCAGAACTCACACTCCGATGGGCCCCATGCCAGGACCACCTCCTCCGTGGGGAATGCAGAAGGTCTTGTGAAGATTTAGGTGTGAGACATCAGACCCAAAGTCTCCAGGGCGACAGATTCCCACCTACCACAAAGGCAAGGGCCAAAAGCAAAAGTCAAGAGCTTGGAAGCACCCTCCAACATGAAGGCCATGACTGGCTGGTGCTGCCTTCTCCCCTCAGGGGAAAAGCAGGCAGAGCCACATCCATGGTGTTCACAGAAATGTCCTCTATCTGGCCCAGTTCTGTAGTCACAACCTGGCATCCTATAGGCAGAGTGCTTGCGGTTGCTATGGAAACAGCGATTGACCATTTAGCCCAATTTAGATTTTAAAATATGGATTTAAATACACCGTCTCTTCCTAATTATCCACACCACAATGGAAGAGAAGTGTCTGTAACACAAGAAGGAGCAGAACCTCCATGTTGTTGAAATAGGCAACTCTTCCCTGAGCAGTGCTACCTTCCCCTGCATGGTCGGCTTTGGTATGATGTATGTTACCGAATGGCCCCGTTGGGCACAATGATGGCAGGGGCTGCAGGGGCACCAGAGAGGAGGCTGAACTGAGAGAGAGAAAGCAAGACTGGCAGTTTTCCTGACATGATCCAGATACCAGACACAATATCCCACTAGCCTTCCCACCACTTGGGTGTTAGGACTAGTTTTGATGGTGGCCAAAGATACAGAATTCATTTATGCTACAGAACCAACAGACAATCCCTGGATTACACTTGTGAAATGAATCAGAACCAAAGACAGAGTCTAAAATGGTAGGGGGAAAAAAAAAAAAGAGGCCAGGCGTGGTGGATCACGCCTGTAATCCTAGCACTTTGGGAGGCCAAGGCAGGTGGATTGCCTGAGCTCAGGAGTTCAAGACCAGCCTGGGCAACACAGTGAAACACCATCTCTACTAAAATTAAAAAAATAAATAAAAATAAATAAAATTAGCCAGTGTGGCGGTGTGCACCTGTAGTCCCAGCTACTCAGGAGGCTGAGGCAGGAGAATTGCTTGAACCTAGGAGGTGGAGGTGGCAGTGAGCAGAGATTGTGCCACTGCACTCTAGCCTTGGTGACAGAGTGAGACTCTGTCAAAAGAAAGATAGAAAGAGACAGAGAGAGAGAAAGAGAGAAAGAAAGAGGAAAAAAGCAAACACCAATAAGAGTCACAAAAAGATTATATCACTCCTCTCCTGCAGGGGCTCCCAACAGCATTTCTTCAGAGGTTCACAATACATAGACCCTCTGTCCCCCAAGTAATCAGGATTGGGCCCTCTGAGCCCCCGTTTCACAGTGATAAAGCTGATGCCAGGATAAATGACTTTCCAAGGCCATGAGAGATCAACAACCACCAGTGGTCAGGTCACAGGTCTGAGTTCCCTCAGGCAGGAAGCCTCTCAAGAAGTCAGAATTTTTTTTTTTTCACTTATCCTTTTTCTCAGTGGGAACTAAGGGCAGGCCTCTCCAGTTCCCACCTGAGCATTCATATTTGCCCCGTCTAGGTAGACCTGTCCTCCATGTTGATGGATGAGGTCACACACGTCACTGATGTTCTCTTCAAACACCCCATTGGTGGATGGGTATGTAATCATGATGGCTGCTAGGTTCTCCTTGTGCTTATCCACCTGTGAAAGAAAAGGGGTAGAGAAGGACATGGAGGGAGGATATGTTTCTTTCTTGGCCAAATCCTCGCCTTTTATTTTAAAGGATGAAGAAAGATGAAGTCTTGGTCTTTACCTTCCTGGAACTGTCTCAAAGTACAATGACAGCAATAAAAAAACCACAGCCATTACTCCCTTCATAAATCATTCCAAAGAAATAATAAGATTCTGGCTGGGTGTGGTGGCTCAAGCCCGTAATCCCAGCACTTTGGGAAGCCGAGGTGGGCAGATCACCTGAGGTCAAGAGTTCGAGACCAGCCTGGCCAACATGGTGAAACTTCGTCTCTACTAAAAATACAAAAATTAGCCGGGCATGGTGGCGGGTGCCTGTAATCCCAGCTACTCAGGAGGCTGAGGCAGGGACAATTGCTTGAACCGGGGAGGTGGAGGTTGCAGTGAGCCAAGATCACACCACTGAACTTCAGCTTGGGCAACAGAGCGAGACTCCAGGTCAAAAAAAAAAAAAAGAAATAATAAGATCTTTTCAGTCTAGGTCTCTATGGTCCAGAAGAAAAGGGCTGTTCACAAGATTTTTGGATATTTTGGGCCCAATTCTCTAAGGTGGTTTTCGCTTGGCTCAAGTCATCTCAATAATGATTTCAGACGTTCGTGGTTCTAGGCGTATCCATTCTCATAGTTAATCTCTCTGCTCATCTTCTCATATCCATTCCTTTCCCTTACCTTCTGTTGAAGTTAGAATTCCCAAATTACAGCTAGATAAGAGGAGTAAGTTGTAGAGTTCTATACCACTGCAGGATGACTATCTTTAACAATATATAATTTCAAATAGTTAGAAGGAGGATATTGAACGTTCCCTCAACCCGAAGAAATGATACATGTTTGAGATAATGGATATGATGATTACCCTGATCTGATCTCTACACATTTTATGTACAGAAACACCACTATGTATCCCATGACTATGTACAACTATTGTCATTTAAAAAGATAAAGAACAGAGGCCAGGCACAGTAGCTCATGCCTGTAATCTCAGCACTTTGGGAGGCCGAGGCGGGAGGATCACGGGGTCAGGAGATTGAGATCATCCTGGCCAACACAGTGAAACCCTGGTCTCTACTAAAAATACAAAAAATTAGCTGGGCGTGGTGGCGGGAGCCTGTAGTCCCAGTTACTCAGGAGGCTGAGGCAGGAGAACCACTTGAACCCAGGAGGCTGAGGTTGCAGTGAGCCGAGATCACGCCACTGTACTCCAGCCTGGGAGACAGGGTGAGACTCCATCTCAAAACAAACAAAAGGATAAAGAAAAGGAATTGAAAAAAAAAAAAAAAGAATTCCCACAAGGAGTGTTTCTGCTTAAATAAAAGTCTCCTTCATTCTTTCCTTTTACAGAAGGCAAGCATATATAAAAGTCATGTCCCTGTTTATTTTCCTGGCCAGCATATCAGAGCAAGCATGTTTGAAAACATGGGGGTGGCCAGGGAAGTCATGTCCTATATTACCATAATGGAGGGACTTAATACTTTCAACTACTGGCCCGGAACACTTGTTGGAAAAAAACTTTATGGGGCAATGGAAGGGTAGGGGTGGATCGAAGAGAAGTGCAGCATTGTGGATTTTCAGCTTCCTTCAGAAGGCAACTGCACAGAGTTCCCAGTCTCCATGCCTAATAACACCACCATCAAAATCACATTGCTATTCTACTGATTTCCTTCCCTCTTAAGATGCAGCCGCCAGTCCGCTGGTGGGAAGCAGATATGGTTGCTAAGCAACTTCTTCCTGGAGGTTGGGAGGTTGAGAGTGGGGGTTGGTGGAAACCAAGCTGCATGCTGCCTGGAATTCAGCACGCTGGGGCGGGCACAGTCATGGATCTTTGCAAAGTTGACATTTGTGTTACAATTCCTGACACAAAGATTAAGTGTGTGACTGCCATTTTGATTATTAAGTGGGGAAGGGGAGAAGGAGATGGAAGATTGGGCAGAAAGAGGCAGGCAGGTCCCGCAAGGAGTACTCTTACTACCACCATGAATAATTCATTCAGTTTTTTACATAAGCTGGAATTAGAGAACGTTGGTGGTGGGAGGGGCAGAGTAGACTCTGGTCAAAGGAAGAACTGCAGACTTTTCATTAGAATGCAAGAGAAGACGTTTACATAATCCATCAAGTCCCTGATCTCCACCACCGCTCCCCACCCCGGCCTCTCCCATCTACTAAGGAGAAGACAAGTACCATGGCCTTGAGGTGAACTGCATCAATATTCCCATATTTATCCACCTCCACAGGCTGAATCTTCATGCCTGCCATGTGGGCACTTGCTGGGTTGGTCCCATGTGCTGATTTCGGAATGAGGCAAACCTGCAGAATAGAAAGGAAGCAAAGAAAGAGAAAAATCATCATCAGACTGTGAATAATAAGAGAAAAGTACTACAACATGCCTGTAGCACAAATTAGAAACCACCTGTTTTTATTTAAGCTGAACACTAGTGCTTTAAAATCTGCTACAATTTAATTATTTGTCATTGCAAAACAATGTCCAAAAAAAAAGTTTCCATTTGAATCCCTAAATATTGTTGCCTAAAGATGCTCAGGAAATCAATAAACTCTTCCCTTATCCCAATACACTAAAAATAGGCCTGGGCTTATTCTAACCTTGTCTCAGTTAGGATACACAGAAAGCACCTTAGAAGAACATGAGATTGGAAGTTAAACTCAAGGACTCAGTGCCCACATTACAGCTTCAGTGCTCTACTTGGCTTATCCAGGACAGATGATAATGATAGATGTAATTCCAAGGCCTCCCAGTATCAATACACCAATTATATCAATATTTATTGGATGCTTACTCTGTAATAAATTATTAGTTTCTATAAGAACCATAATGTAAGCATTAAAAATGATCAACTGAGCCAGGTGCGGTGGCTCATGCATGTAATCCTAGCACTTTGGGAGGCCGATGTGGGTGGATCACCTGAGGTCAGGAGTTCGAGACCAGCCTAGCCAACATGGTGAAATCCTGTCTCTAGTAAAAATACAAAAAATAGCTGGGTGTGGTGGTAGGCGTCTGTAATCCCAGTTACTCGAGAGACTGAGGCAGGAGAATTGGTTGAAACCAGGAGGTGTAGGTTGCAGTGAGCCGAGATCGTGCCATTGCACTCCAGCCTGGGCAAGAGTGAAACTCCGTTTGTTTTTTTTTTTTTTAAAAAAAGATCAACCTGGCCGGGCATGGTGGCTCACACCTGTAATCCCAACACTTTGGGAGGCTGAAGTCAGGAGTTCAAGACCAGCCTGGCCAACATGGTGAAACGCTCTATTAAAAATACAAAAATTAGCCAGGCATGGTGACGCACGCCTGTAGTCCCAGCTACTCAGGAGGCTGAGACAGGAGAATTGCTTGAACCTGGTAGGTGGAGGCTGCAGTGAGCTAAGATCATGCCATTGCACTCCAGCCTGGGCAACAGAGCGACAGTGCGTCTCAGAAATAAATAAATAAATAAATAAATAAATAAATAAATAAATATAAAAATGAGCAGCCGCTGCCCTGGGTTCACACAACTGACTCACTAACAATGGTGGCCTATGAATGACTGTCTAGAGTCCAGAGATGCAGCAAAAACATGGAGAAGAGGATGTGCCTTCAGGTTAAGGAAATCAAGGGAAAGTGCCTCAAGAGCTGAGCCTAAGTTAGAGCTGACAGCTGCACTGAATTTTTATGGAAGCTGGACAGTAGGTGCAATGCTAGAATTCTCAGACTCAAATCATCCTTCATTTCCTCCAAACCACCATGTGGAGGCAGGCTCTTGCAGAACTGATGATGATGTATCCCAGTGGGAAAGTAAGTCACAAGGTTTTCCCCAACAAAAAGCATCAAGGAGAAGCCATGATTACCCTGAAAATCATCCTCCTATATTGTATCCCACAGCCAATATTGCAACCCCTTTGAAGATACATGGGTTGGGCATTATTAAAAATAGGCTATGAAGTTAAATCTTAGCTTCCAGCTCTTTCCTCAAAAACAGCAAAGGAGTCTACTTAAGAAAAATACACGTGTACAAAAAGAAAACGTTAGCCAAAGACAAACATAGACTACGTTACACTCTTCTACTTTCAGGTTTGTGCCCCTTTAGAATGGCTGTTGGTCTCATACTGGTTGTGTCACATTGTCCTGAAATCGTTTTCTTGTTTGGATGCTTCCCTTTTGTAGTTAATGTTTTTCTTTAATTTCTCAGGACCCAAGCTGGAGGCACTGTCCTCTCTCACAGGTATTGTTAGTCTACAAAAGGATCGTTGGATGAAAGGATCCCTTCAGGGCAGAATATTGATAAGAAAGAGAAAGGTGAATATTAAAAATAAATATAAAATATTCATAGAAAACCAAAATGAAGAATTCATACCAGGTGAGTTCTGTTGAAACATAAACATGTAAAAAAGTCAACCACCTTCTGGTACGCTGAATAACAGGCTCCCAAAGACATCCCTGTCCTAATCCTCAGTACCTGCGGGTGTGTCTTTATATGGCAAGGGGGACTCGAAGATGGGATTAGGGTAAGGAAAGATCTTAAGATGGAAAAATTATTCTGGATTTTGGGCTGGGCCCTAAATATATTCTTAAGTGTCCTCATCAGAGGGAAGCAGAGGGACATGGGACCACAGAGGGAGCAGGAGATGTGCTGACTGAAGCAGGAAGCTCGAGCCAAGGAACGCAGGGGGCCTGCAGACGCCAGGAAAGGCAAGGAAACAGATTCTTCCCTGTCTCCCCCAGAAGGAATCAGCCCTACCAACACTTTGACTTTAGCTCAGTGAAACCTTCTGACACCTGGCCTCTGCAACTATAAGAAAATTAATGTGTGTTGTTTTAGGCCGCTAAGTATGTAGAAATTTATCATAGCAGCCATAAGAAACTAACACACATCCTGGTGCAAGAAGTGATGGAAAGAGAAGTCTCAGTGGCTTTGTCAAGGACTCATTTATATGTTCCTGTCAGACATTTCTGGTTTTCTATGAGGATTTAGAGGACTTTAATTATTCTTTATGATGTTAATTTTTTCCTCAGTTTAAAATTGTAGGCCGGGCGCGGTGGCTCAAGCCTGTAATCCCAGCACTTTGGGAGGCCGAGGTGGGTGGATCACGAGGTCAGGAGATCGAGACTATCCTGGCTAACATGGTGAAACCCCGTCTCTACTAAAAATACAAAAAACTAGCCGGGCGTGGTGACGGGCGCCTGTAGTCTCAGCTACTTGGGAGGCTGAGGCGGGAGAATGGCGTGAACCCGGGAGGCGGAGCTTGCAGTGAGCCGAGATCACGCCACTGCACTCCAGCCTGGGAGCACAGCGAGACTCCGTATCAAAAAAAAAAAAAAAACAAATAAAATTGTAGTGTTGGCTGGGCGAAGTGGCTCAAGCCTGTAATCCCAGCACTTCCGGAGGCTGAGGCAGGCGGTTCACTTGAGGCCAGGAGTTCAAGACCAGCCTAGCCAACATGGTGAAACTCCTTCTCTACTAAAAATACAAAAATTAGCTAGGCATGGTGATGCATGCCTATAGTCCCACCTACTTGGGAGGCTGAGGCATGAGAATCACTTGAACCCAGGAGGCGGAGGTTGCAGTAAGCCAAGATCATGCCACTGCACTCCAGCCTGGGCGACAGAGCGAGCCTCTGTCTTGGGGGAAAAAGAATTGTATTGTTGTGAGGGATATGGAAGTAACAGGACCCAGATTTGAAGCTTTGGTTTATCCAAAGCAAGTCCAGCTTTTGGTGCATTGATGCCCATTTAGAGGGGTGCTACGTTTTCTAGACTCCCCAGGGTGCGTGGCATAGAACAGGCATAGGTCATCCTTAGACTTGCTGAATGAGCGAAGGATTAAGGAGTTCTCCTGTGCAAGGGAAACTGATGTCTTACTACTGGTAAAATCTAACAACCAAAGGCCACTACTTTGTCTCAGGCAGCTGGGAAGAAAAAAATATTCCTATACAGGTTTTGAGCTTTCTTTGGTGATGTACATATACACATAATTTGTTTCCTTTGAACAATGTTTTCCTTTTGTATAGGAAACTCAGACTCTGAACAGCAAACTTAATTGTTTTTCTTTAGAGTTTTTATTTTTTCATAAGGAGGTCTGCTGAATAAGTTAGTATTTGACTAACAAATTGAAATATTAATTATAAAGTGTTAAAGGCCATGCCTGGCACATGGTAACTGCCATATAAGTGTTTGCTAAATAAATTTGTATTCTCCCAAAGTTAACTCATAAATCAAGAAGTTAGGCATTCCATTTTGGGAACCTCTGAAATTTAACCTAAGAGAAAATGTGAAAATAACTTCAAAAAGCAGTTTGAAAGGAAAAGACCCATCAGGAGCCCAAGCACTTCTGCAGCACATGATTTCCCCACACTCCCTTTCAAAAAAGAAGGATATATTTTGCTGGATTCCATTAGAATCTATTGTGTGGGAGCAGCTGCCTCAGACATCAGTGATGTGAAAAACATCTTCCCTGATTAGTGAATGCTAAATCATTTTCTTCTCTAGCTAAGAAAGTTGGCTTTAAATTTTAAAAAAAATTTTTTTGAGAGGGAGTCTCACTCTGTTGCCCAGGCTAGAGTGCCGTGGCGCAATCTCAGCTCACAGCAACCTCTGCCTCCTGGATTCAAGTGATTCTCCTGCCTTAGCCTCCCCAGTAGCTAGGATTACAGGCATGCACCACCATGCCTGGCTAATTTTTGTGTTTTTAGTAGAGACAGGGTTTCACTATGTTGGCCAGGCTGGTCTTGAACTCCTGACCTTATGTGATCTGCCCGTCTCAGCCTCTCAATGTGCTGGGATTACAGGCATGAGCTACCATGCCCGAGCTAATTAAAATTTCTGATCCAGAAGGATGCCAACATTTCCAGGGTTATGAGCTTTGTATTTCTACCAGCTCAGTGGCTGGGGGGCTTCCCTGCCTCTCCCTTTCCCCCTCTCCCTGAAGCACACCACCCAGCCCCTCTCCCCACTGCAGAATGAAATGGCCTCTCATGACATTTCGGTGATGGCAGGATGGGCAATGGGGCCAGGAGAAACATCACACACAGTGGGTGGAGAAGGGAAGGAGGACAGGAAAACACAAAGAGAGGGAACAGGAACCAGAAAGAATCCACAAGTCACGGAAGAACCCCGTCCAGGCCAAACCCAAAGGCCCTTCATTCTTTCTCCTTGGCCTTTCCAGTTTGGTCCCCAGCTGCTGGACATTCACAGCTACTTCCTGGTGTCAGACTGGGGAATTTGGGAAATGGCGAAGGGTGGGAAGCATCACTGCGTGGAAAGAATCTGGATTTTAGCTGGCCCTTTGCCATTAGCTAGTCACCTGCCTTCTCCAAACACCGCTTTCTGCGGCCTGTCCGCTAAGCAGTGGAGGAGTGGGGTGGAGATGTCACACAGGACAGGCTGCCCCTTTCCAGCATCCCCAGGTTCCTGGGCACCTCGTGGTGAAAGATGCTAATGAAGAGGAACTCCAGGGACGACCTTGGCACATGGAAGCCATGAGGGAAAAACAGACAAGAGAGAATCTTGCATTGTTTTACTGGCTGGACACCCGGAGCTCCAAAGTTTCCTTTCTGATTCAGTGACAGTGCCGAGACTCTCAGGTCCCAAGAGCAATTATAGTTCTAAACAAATCATTCCTTAGAAAGCTGAGAATTCAGAACCACAAATGAATAAACTGTGGGGGAATTTCAGGGTCTGTGTCTGTCTGGTTGGCCACTTCACTTCTCTCTGGACTGGCAAGCAGTCCTTGACCATGACCAGGGTTTAATCATTTATTCAATTCTTAAATGGTCTGTTTTTCAAAGATCTTTAGACATGAATTCTAAGGCCAGGTGCAGAGGGTCATGCCTGTAATCCTGGTCTCCCTAGCACTTTGGGAGGCTTCCTTGAGCCCATGAGTTCAAGGCTGCAAGGAGCTCGGAAAAAAAGGGCCAGGCACAGTGGCTCACGCCTATAATCCCAGCACTTTGGGAGGTCGAGGCAGGTGGAACACCTGAGGTCAGGAGTTCGAGACTAGCCTGACCAACATGGTGAAACCCTGTTTCTACTAAAAATACAAAAATTAGCCTGGCGTGTTGGCATGTGCCTGTAATCCCAGTTACTCAGGAGGCTGAGGCAGGAGAATCGCTTGAACCTGGGAGGCAGAGATTGCAGTGAGCCAAGATTGGGCCATTGCACTCCAGCCTGGGGGACAGGGCGAGACTCTGTCTAAAACAAATTCTATTCCCCAATCAAGATGAAGGCCTGAAAAGACACACCTGTGGAATCAGGATGACCTACGCAAGGGAAGGAGGGAAAAAAATGTTGCTTCTTTTCCCCTGTTATGAAAGGGAAGTGAAACACTTTCAGCATTCTTTATTGCCAGTTCCAGACAACTAGCCATAAGTAACCTTCCAGTGGTAATAAAACCAGAAATGGACTAAGACCGGGCCACTACCACTCCACCCTACTTACTTAGGCAGCCAGCACTACCCTACATACTTTGTCTCTAACTCGCTGGTACCAGTAGATGCTTTTGCCCTGCTCTCAGCTCCTAGGCGATGCTCCTACTAAGGACTCCCACTCGACAGCTCAGTAGAAACTCTAGCATAGTACTGGCCATCAAAATGAAGGAACCAGGAACACAGGCCTCCTCTGGCACAAGCTGAGGCCTAAGTTAGGTCACTGCTCTAGGCACTGCCCCAGGGGGGTGAGTGGTGCCCATTAGTACCTGCTGGTCCCCAGAGTGATCCCCAAGAGGTGGTTGGGATCCTGGAGACCAGGTTCTCATATCCAAAGCAAACAATGAAGCAGGACTGTGAACTCTGCTTTATGCCTTTTTAGGTGCTTGAAGTTGAGAATCATCTAATGGAGAATTTATTTATTCAACAAATATTTTTTGAGCATACGTATGACCAGAACTGGGCTTCAGCACAACAGGGGTTACTGAAGAAATAAAAGCGTGGTCTCTGCCCTTCATCCAGGCCCAGGGCCGGGGCTGAGCCAAGGAGAGGATGCTTGCAATGGCAACATTCCTGCACTCTTCCTCCCTCTGCTCCCTAGAGAGCAGTTCCACAGCCAACTGGCTCACGTTTGCATTCTGGGTTTGAGCAAAAGTCTTTTATCTCTGAATGTTTTCCCTCAAAATGGTCAAGTGGGATGTCTTGGAAGCAAGGATCATAATGGCTAGTTCACAGAAATTTGTTTCTTGACTATATGCTCCCTCATCTGCTTCCAAGAAGGCTTGCAGGGAGTGTCCCACAAAGGAACCCTGAGAGCTAGGACTTCTGTGCCCCATGGTGAGCAAGCGCCACCTTCTGCCATACTCACCGTTCTGTGCCCCTCTCCTTTCTGGTCTAAGTAGGCTCGGATAGTGGCCAGTCCAGCATATTCTCCCTGGGCTCCGCTTGCAAAGATAAAAAGAAAAAGATCACAGTTAGGTCTTCTGGCTTTCATTTACTCATTCAGTATTTACTGGGCCCTGGCCAGGGCTTCACTAGCATGTGACACGTGGTCACTGTCCAGACACTGAGAGAAGCTCATCAAGGAGCTCTGCCGGAGTCAAAAGGTCTTGAACAATCAAAACAATCAAAGCAACAGCATCCAGTTTGTGCACTACAGCTCAACCACTCCTACCCAAAGATGGAGCTTTCTATACCCTTGCTCAGGATCACGCATTGAAAATAGCCTTTTGTTATTATGAAAAATTTCAAAACTATACCAAAATACAGAGAAGAACAAAAGGAACCACCATGTGTGTGTCAGCCAGCTGTAACAATTTGGTTTATGGTCAATCTTGTTTCTAATTATATTCCTCACTAACCACTTTCATGCTGAACTATATTTTGAAGCAAACTTCAAACATCCTACCATCAGTTCAAATGTCAATATGCAGCCTTCAAAGATAAGTATTGTTTTTAAAAATATAACTACAGGCTGGGTGCAGTGGCTCATGTCTGTAATCCTAGCACTTTGGGAAGCCGATGTGCGCAGATTATTTGAGCTCAAGAGTTCAAGACCAGCCTGGGCAACATGGTGGAACAGTGTCTCCACTAAAAGAACAAAAAATTAGCCTGGTGCGGTAGCATGCATCTGTAGTACCAGCTACTGGGGAGGCTGACATGGAAGGATCACTTGAGTCTGTGAGGTGGAGATTGCAATAAGCCGAGATGGCGCCACTGCACTTCAACCTGGGTAACAGAGTGAGATCTCATCTCAAAAAAATAAATAAATAACTACAAACACAGTGGTCACACCTAAAACAATGAACTTCAATTTTTTCCTTTTTTCCCTCTTTTCTTTCCCCCTTTAAATGGGTAATGTGTCAACATTTTAACAAGGTTCGAGGAAGGCACATCTCATACATGAGCATGAAAACCAATCATCACTATTTATAATTTCTTAGTATCACCAAATATTGAGTCGAGTGCCTGATTAGCCCCAAAAGAATGAGGCACTTTTAATGTGACACCATTCCTGGCAGTCTCAGAGTCAGATCTCCCAGGCCTTAGATGCAGATGGTTGTTAGGGGCTGGCCATCCTCATCTCAACGGTCCTGGAAGGCGCCACTTTCAGGGCATATGCAATGACTAACATTCCGGTGAGCAATGCTGACTCAATCGTAGACTGTTATTTAATGTTCCCAGTACCCCGTGCAGAAAGGGAAGGGAAATGAGTAATAGATGTATCAGTCCCATTCAAAATGTGTACGTCTGCAGAAGCTGAAGGAAAAAATTAAATACTAAAAAAAGAAACAAAAATTTAAACTTTAAACAAATGAAAATTTAAAAATAAAATAACTTTTTAAAATGTTACCCACAGGAAATAGGTGAGAATTTTAAAAAATGTGTATGTTCTCCATGCCATCACCCCCATTTTGCACACAAAGAAACAGAGGTCAGAGTGCTACATGCCAAATGGCCAACGGTGACTTGAGTGTGGAGTCAGCCTGCCTCCCAGAGCTACGGGCTCCCTTTGCTAGCAGTGCTGCTCTTCTGAGCACACTGTGCTCTCCAAGGACAGAAAGTTGTGGGAGCAAATGCTGATTTTCTTTCACAGCAGAATTCTTGTCTGATTGATAGAACTGGGGGGTTTAGCTAAAAGCAAGAAAACAAGAAAGCAAGAAAGCAGGAAGGAAGGAAGGAAGGAAGGAAGGAAGGAAGGAAGGAAGGAAGGAGAGAGAAAGAAAGAAAGAAAGAAAGAAAGAAAGAAAGAAAGAAAGAAAGAAAGAAAGAAAGAAAGGAAGGAAGGAAGGAAGGAAGGAAGGAAAGCGAAGGCAAGGAAGAAGGAAGGAAGGAAGGAAGGAAGGAAGGAAAGAGAAGGAAGGAGAGAGAAGGAAGGAAGAAGGAAGGAGGAAGGAAGGAAGGAAGGAAAGAAAGAAAAGAAAGAAAGCAAAAGAAGAAAGAAGACAAGAAAGAAAGAAAGAAAGAAAGAAAGAAAGAAAGAAAGAAAGAAAGAAAGCCTGTCTTACAAGACCTGAGTCACCCTGTTCCTCGTCACCCGCACTGAGTCAGCTGTAGCTCTCTCTGCTCTCTTCCAAGAAGAAAGGCAAAGACTGCTCTTCTGTTTTCCTGGCTTCTGAAAAACAAGTCCTAGCCTATTTGAGGTTTCTTTATTTTGAGAACAAGAAAATGAATATGCTGTGCTTCAGGAAACCACTCACATCACTGGTAACTTCATCTCCCTGTGCCTATGTGCCTGAGAGATGTGTAAAATGGGGATAGTAATGGTACCCATCGCACAGGGTAGAGGTGATGAGTAGTGAGATCATTGATGTCAAATGCTTCTCAGCCAAATCCTGCCCATTCTTCAACTGGCTACAACTCTCTGCCAAGCCTTCCCCAAAGCCACCAATCCAGCTCTTTGTCACTTCCTCAGAGAGGCCTTCCCTGAAGGCAAGAATCTTGTCAACCTTGTTCACAACTGTATTCTCTATTCCAAGAACACTGACATAAAGAATATTTGATAGATTTATTAAAGAAATAATCCTCTACCTCGTCCAAATTCTCATAGAGTTTTACTCTACAATCTTATCTGACATTACCATCATATACATGTAGTGGACATAGAAAATTATTACCAATTTCACATTTACTTTGTGTGCCTGTCTTATCTCAATTAGAGCATAAGGTCTGAAAGTAGGGTCTAGGTCGGGCGCGGTGGCTCAAGCCTGTAATCCCAGCACTTTGGGAGGCCGAGACGGGCGGATCACGAGGTCAGGAGATCGAGACCATCCTGGCTAACACAGTGAAACCCCGTCTCTACTAAAAAATACAAAAAAAAAAACTAGCCGGGCGAGATGGCGAGCGCCTGTAGTCCCAGCTACTCGGGAGGCTGAGGCAGGAGAATGGCGTAAACCCAGGAGGCGGAGCTTGCAGTGAGCTGAGATCCGGCCACTGCACTCCAGCCTGGGCGACAGAGCGAGACTCCGTCTCAAAAAAAAAGAAAGTAGGGTCTAATTCTCAGAGTTCTGTATATTCTCCAACAGGGAATATATAGAACGGTACTGTGCATGTAGTAGTTCTACAATAAGTATTTAGTAAATATTTTAAAAATTGAATTCCTCCAGCACAGGCAATCAATATGAATGTCATCCTTTCCCCTATAGTAAGGAACCTCAAGAAAAACATTTTATATTTATCCCTATGTTTTTCTTATGAATTCTGTTCATCTGACTTTCTTGAAAGGCCAATCAAGGTGTAGACTAGGAATGAAGGAAGAGTCAGATTACTGGCTGAGCCAGTAGTGTAGGAGAAAGGCAACATGCTAAAGACTTGATCAGAAATGCTGGATTTTTCTCTCTCTCTCTGGCCTTAAACATCTATAAAATCAGCTATGTTTCAAAAACTCAAAAAGTGCAGGTGATATATTCAAATGTGACACAAGGATTACTACTGGGGGATTATTAAAACAAATTGTTAGTGCCACCTGTTGGTAGAAAAGTATTATGAAAAAATAATTGCTTTTCTACATAACCCAGACTAAGCAACCATCAGCAAACTATTACATATGGAGGAGAGGCTAGGTCAGTGCTTTTCCGACATCTGTTTAAAATGAAGTAGTGAATGGTCTAGAGCTGCAGGGCTGGCCAGTGGACGGGGAGCCTCAGAAACACCAAGTTTATGTGAGCACAGCTTGAACTGTCTTAGAAAAACAAGGCCCTCCAGGCTGGCGCATGCTGGCTCAAACCTGTAATCCCAACACTTTGGGAGGCCAAGGCAGGTGGATCACCTGAGGTCAGGAGTTCGAGACCAGCCTGGCCAACATGGTAAAACCCCATTTCTACTAAAAACACAAACAATTAGCTGGGCATGGTGGTGCATGCCTGTAATCCCAGCTACTTGGGAGGCTGAGGTGGGAGAATCGCTTGAACCTGGGAGGCGGAGGTTGCAGTGAGCCGGCACCACGCCACTGCACTCCAGCCTGGGCCACAGGGTGAGACTTCACCTCAAGAAAAAAAAAGAAGACAAGAAAAACAACAGGACTCTCCAGTGCATGGCATTCACTCAGGTTGATGAAGGAGCTGCTGTTTAATGCAGAACAGGAAAATTGAGCAGACAACTTTTTCCAAAACTCAGATTCATTCTACAAAGAATCCACAAGAAATTCAATAGACTAGAAAAAGTAGAGCAACTGAATAACAGGTATTAAGAACTCACAAGGTGAAAACAGTTGGAGTTGATGGAATTCAACACTATTGTGATGACTATAACCTAGGCCCTTTCAGTATCAGTGTATCATCATAGGTGTGCAAGTTCAGGAGAAATACTCAATGTAAACTTAGAAAAAAAAGAATTTGTAGATGACACAGCAGAGATAGGGTGAGGGTGATAGTTCAGAAGAGCTAAAAGTTATTTAGCAAGGTTAGAACAGGAGTTCGAAGAAAAAACAAATTTTAAAGATTTTAAAAATTAATTTCTCTTTCCTTTTACTAAGAACCCTAGCCAAACATATTGAGAATTAGAAATAGATGTTGTGGCTGGGTGAAGTGGCTCATGCCTGTAATCCCAGCACTTTGGGAGGCCGAGGTGGGCAGATCACAAGGTCAGGAGTTTGAGACCAGACTGGACAATATGGTGAAACCCCATCTCTACTAAAAGTATAAAAATTAGCTGGGCGTGGTGGCGGGCACCTGTAGTCCCAGCAACTCGGGAAGCTGAGGTGGGAGAATCGCTTGAATCCGGAAGGCAGAGGTTGCAGTGAGCCGAGATCGTACCACTGCACTCTAGCCTGGACAGAGTAAGCCTCCATCTCAAAAACAAACAAACAAACAAACAAACAAACAAACAAAAAAGAAATGGACGTTGCAGACCAGGCGCAGTGGCTCATGCCTGCACGCCTGTAATCACAGCACTTTGGGAGGCCGAGCCGAGCGGATTACCTGAGGTCAGAAGATCGACACCAGCC